GTTTTTTTCTTAAAAAAAAAAAGTCATTTCTATTCCCCTGTAATTATTTTTGCAGCCAGCGACAAGTTCCTGCATTGGATACATTGGGACATTTTATTTTAGAAGCCGAGAATTAAATTCTTACTAACTTACGGCTGACTTCATCCTGTTCATCACTGTGAAGGCTTGCTTGCCCCCCCCCTCCCGTCCTGGCACATTGAAACAGTAGCCTGAGCAGAGCCATGGACTGACTGTAAGAACTGGGTGAGCAAAGCCCATTTTGCTTTACCAAAAAAAAAAAATGGTGTCGAATGATGCAAGTAAAATGTTTAATCCCAGGACATCAATTTTGGGTAGTTAGTCTGCAAGCACATTCTTGGGGGGTGAACCCCTTGGAACAGGATTTGTCCCAAGAGAAGTGGCTGTCTGTATCTTAGATTTTGCTTACATCAGGGCATTGTAGATTGAAGGCAAAAATTGGATTTCCAGAGCACATCGCTGCTATTATTCCCTTCTACACACTCCCTGACCCCAATCTGTGTTTTTAAAGCACAAGACAAGGTAAGAAGCCTTTCTCAGTTTATCACTTTATCTCTTCTGTATTATTCCAGCAACTCGTGAGGTTCTGCTCCCCATTCTTTCATACATTAATTAAACAGATTTATTGAAAGCTTATGCTGTGCTCTTTCCAAAATGCCAGGGAGATAAAGCATGTGTCTCACACGGAAGAAGCTCAGTCTGGAGGGTGAGGGATGAATAAATAAAAGATTACCACCCGAACCACACCCACTCTCATGTTTTCTCCCCTTGATCTGGTTTTCCCCACTGGACCCCCCACGGGGGCTGCACCTGTGCTGCAGCCGTAAGCTTAGTACCCTGGCATTGACCCACTCTCTGTGGCAGTATCTAACGAAAAACTGATTTTAACAAAGGGAGACATAGTTCTGCTTCCATTGTAAGCAGTAAATTGCTCAAGACCAGTATTTTGCAAACATCCAGATGATGCTCTTAGAGCAGGGATAAAAATCTCAGATGCCTGTTGGCAACCCAGAGTGAACAGTGAGGTCTGAGACAGTAGGGAGAGGTGGAGACTGTGTGGCACATTGGAGAACCCATTTCTTGTCCAAAGGGACAAGGGCTTTGAAGCTCCAGTCTCTGTCAGCCATATGAAATGTAGCCTCAGTGTGGCCTTATCTGATTTGTTCAGGAAAGCCGAAAAACTGGTTTTTATATGAAATCACCTGTTGGGATCTAATGCCAGTTAAAAAACCAAAAACAAAAAACGCAATACTGACCAAACAGAACATGTTTGCACACTGGGCTTCTTGCCACCAATTCATGTCCCCCTCGTCTATGGGAAACATCTGAGCAGATTCTGCAGTGAGACTTGATTTCCAATTTTGACATTTCTACATAGAAGTGGGTTAACCTTGAACGAATTGCTTAATTTCCACTTTTGGCCTTATATGTAAAGGCCTTTGGACCTTGAGTAAGTTGCTTTCCCGTCTTTGGACTTCAGTTTGTCATCGGTGTGAGAAGAGCAGGATTGGATGCAGACGGCCCACATGTCAAACATCTGTGGTCGTGGCACTGTCTGTATATAATCGCTTGGTTTCCCTCACTGTCCCTCTCCTCTTCGCCCAGTGAGCAAAGGCATGTTTTGGGTCAAAGGGCTTCTTAAAAAGAGGCTCTTGGCCAGTTTGGCTCAGCTGTTAGAGTGTCAACCTGCGGTCCAGAGAGACCCAGGTTCGGTTCCCGCTCAGGGCACGTACCTCGGTTGCAGTTTGTCCCTGGTCCTGGTTGGGCCCTGTGGGAGGCAGCCACTCAATGTGTCCCTTTCACATCGATGTTTCTCTCTCTCTCTCTCTCTCTCTCTTCCTTTCTCTCCTTCCCACTCTGTCTGAACAAAAAATGGAAAAATGTCTTCGGGTGAGGATTAAAAAAAAAAAGAGAGAGACTTCTAGCTCTGGTCAGTTTTGTTCAGTGGTTAGAGCATCGGCCAGCAGACCAATGAGTTGAAGATTCGATTCCGGTCAAGGGTACATATCTTAGTTGCGGTTCAGCCCTGCCCTGGTCAGGGTTATGCAGGAAACAACCAGTCCATGTGTCCCTCTCACACTGATGTTTCTCTCTTTCTCCCTTCCTCCTACTCTATCTGAAGATTAACTGAAAAATATCCTTGGGTGAGGATTAAAAAAAAAGAGGATTCTATAAAGTAATACAGAATTATCTTAGGAATTTGAGAGTTATGAAAGAGGACTCAGCTATCTACAGGTATACCCCATGCTAGGTTATGAATGTGTACAAGGCCACATAGATTTTATTGACTTTCTTGTGTTAGAAAGCCACTTTCTTTTTATATCTGTAGTTGGTAAATGGTATCATAGTAGCTTAAAGATATTATTCATTATTACTATGAACCCATTTCTTTCTGTCTCACCTGTAGGATCAGGTTGTTAAAGCAATCAAGATCCTTGATCCCAGGAACTACCAGAGTCCCAAATTGGAGTGGCCTCTGCTCATAGAATATCAGCAAATTGGTCTCTTCATGATTGTGCTAAGTTAAGATCAGACTTCTCCTTGAGTTTTTGGCATTTAGCTGCTATATACATTAGAAAATGGTTACTTAATCTTAGTAATTTGGTTCCACAAATATTGCATAAGCCATCTGATATTTTAAACAGTTTAAGCTCCAGAAGTAACAGCCCCATAAAAGGTGCGTGTTAGCAATGCTCTGTGGGACATAAATTAAGAAGAGCACTTTTCCAGCTGTGGTTGGACTGGTATTTCAGCGAACTGCATAATCAGCATAAAGCCCAGGTCGTTAGAGTCTGCTGGCAGAAATCAGAAAACCTGCAAATCACCAGAGAGCCCAGTACTCCTGCATGAAAGTGGTCCTTTGAAATCTGACTGTCTGTTGAGAGCAGTATGGCGGACCGTGACCCCACGATCATGAATGAGCAATTGGTCTTATCCCCACCACAGAGCATGAAGCCTTCATCAGCACTTTACCTGTAGGTAACACATCCACAGGTCCAGCACATCTGATTCTGGCACCTCGCTTTTTAAAACGAACCCGAAGCTTCCCAATTCTACATGGAACAAGCTACAGACTTCTTGCTATTGGCCAACAAGTCCTCTGAACTTGCTCCCCCCTAGCTCCCTGACCCAGTCGTGATTGCTGGCCCTCAGATACCCCAAGTCCTTCCTGCTTCTACTTCCTGCTAGGATGCTCTTCCACTGGATCCACTCATTGCCCCTTCTTCCCATCATGCTCTGTGCTCTAGTGTCACTCCGTCAGAATGGTCCTCCTGGACCACCACAGATAACACACTTTTCCAGTTACTCTCTATTCTCTTAGGAGTTTTATTTTCTGCATAGTACTTGTCCTCATCTAGAAATTTAATATTTATTCCCTTGTATAGTTGCAGATGGCCTCTCTCTGCCAACACAAAATAGGCTTCACCAGAGATGAAGATGTACATCCTGCCAAGTAGCAGCCGGGGACCTTGACAAGTTACATGAGCTTTCCAAGCCATAGTGTCAGCACCTGTACAATAGAGATAGCAATAGAAGTCTGAATAACTAGGATAATACTTCCCTCTTAGGGATATTGTAGGGATTAAGTGAAAACACCAAGAAAGGCCCTGACCTGTGACCCATACCCTTCCCCTTGCAGTGCTGGAGGTAGATGAGCCCAGAGCACCCCCTCCCCGCAGGCCACTGCTTCGTTACTCAGCGTCTTTGGGACCCAGGTGATGACGCCCACTGTAGAAACACAATTCTAATATATGTAATTATTTTTTTTATTTATGTGAGCTTTGGTTTCTATGAGTATATAAATAGATATTTTCACCTTAATTGTATCATGTTATGTACATATTTGTATTTACATGATATATTTGTTGATCTCATACCATAAAGTATTCTTCAAAATCTAAATTTGAGTGCTAATACATACCACAGTGTATCATACTTACCGCTGCCTTATTACTGAACATTCAGGCTGCTTTCAGTGTTTTACTCTGCATACGTGCTACTACCTTGAATATCTTTATGCAGACAGTATTTTACAGAACCTTTTATTATTTTCTTAGGATTGAACCCCAGTACGTGGAAGTCTCATGTTGAGCTTGTCTGTATCAGTGGTCCCATTTGCAGAACTATGGGGAATTCCAAACCAGTCCAAGACTCTCAAAGAGGTTACATTGGTTGAAGAGATAAAGTTCAGACCCATGAAGCCACAGCCAGTGTCAGACTGACTACGGGCTAGGTGATGTAGTTACAGACAAGGTGTGCAGGATTCTCAGAACAGAGAGAAAATCATAGGGCAGCGTAGCCACAGAAGACCTATGTGGAAGGTGGATTTGATGTGGGCATGGAGGGTGGGTGGGGAAGAAAAGAGAAGATGCTCTGGGGACAGAATCCACATCAGTGAAGGCACCAAGGCAGGAACGAGCCGGCCTCAAAGCAGTCTGGGCCTCGGGCAGCAGCCACGGGCAGATGAGGCGGGACAGCTTGGCCGGTGTCAGGAGGGTGGTGCCGCAGTCCTGTGCTGGGCAGTTACATGGAGGCTAAGGGTTATTGCCATCATTCCGAGCACACAGGGGTCTGCTCGGGACAACAATATGAGCCATTTGTACAAACGACCAAAATGGAATCCAAATAACAGCTCCAGCTGCTCCAAAAACCTCCCTCCCACTGCAGTTAACATTTTACTACCCAACCAAGAAACTAATGAATCTGGCCCAGCATAGGTCCCCGGACACCAATTCCTGCTTGGGTCTGTGTCTAGACATCAAGACCTGAGTGCAATTTGCACTTTGAACATTCAGCACCTTATCGCTTGCAAGAAATCAGCTTGAACGGGGAAGCTGGGAGGTGTCGCTCTCAGCCTCATCTGTTTGGCACAGTGACTGGGATAAGGACTGGATTCGGAGATAAAAAGGTCGTAACGTGTTTGCTGTGTGGCCCTAGGCCTTCAGAAGCACTGACGGGGAGGTGTCTCCATCTCATTGCAGGCTGTGCTTTGTGAAGCTCAAGCTCCTAATGATAGCCATTGAGTACAAGTCTGCCAACCGAGAGAGCCGGTAAGTTTGCTGCGACCCAGCGGCCAGCTGACGTTTCTGATGGTGACAGAGCGCCCTGGGAACCTGCGGTCCACTTCTTCTTTCCTAGGCTTTATTTATTTTCTTGGACCCCTGAGGCAACACCTCTCTGACCCTAGGACACATTTCAGTGCATGTTCAACCAGACATGGGCATTTCTATCCCAGACCCACCTGGCATCTTGAGCCCCTCTGGGCGAAGAGAGTGTCCCAGGGGAAAGGGATGAGACACTCAGATCTCCGTCCGATCATGCCAACTTCCACTTCCACCCTCTCGGCATAAAAGCAGAGACAGACACTGTCCTCTTATCCCCTTTATACTGCTGAGCGCAAAGCAGGTGGACTCCGGCAGGCAGGGGCAGAGCCGTGATGGGAGATACGAGATCTCTTGATGGCCAAATTACAAGCAGCCTATTGTGGACCATATGTGCTTCTCCCGGTGCAACCGAAATCCAGGTGGCAGAATAGCAGCTTCATGTAAATTAGCCAGGAGATCAAGGCTCTGAGGCAGGAGCCTTCTTTATTTATTTATTTTGTATTTAATTATGTGCAAATCAGACTGATGAGGGACTGGGTCTGGTTGAAACAGATAACACCCCAGTCAATATATGAGTTCACACTGGAAGAAGGAAGCATCATATTAAAAAGGAATTTTGTTGATGAAATTCTGTATGTATTACAGATAAAATGAAGAAGATTTTTGCCCCCAACCCCCATCAATTTTTAGCAATAGTTTTGAAGAAAGATAATTCATTGAGAAATGTTCGAGCTTTTGTCCTCTAAATGACGTCTATGATTTGTTTCTAGTTGTAGTCAATATGTCCTGTAGAGTGCAGACACCCCTTCCTGACACACTCCTTAATGACGGAGCAGAGTACAGGGCAAGACCAGAAGGTTCCTGCTATTGTCATTTAAGGAATTTTCATTATTTGGATGAATGACTCCATGAATCCAGACTTCCAAATGTTCAGTCTTGGTCTCTATGACAAAAAGCATGGGATTGTGAGCAAGTCAATCCAATGTTCTCATTACCTAACCCCCAGATCAGATTGCTCGCGAAGTCAATCTGATCCAATGTTCTACTACTATGAAAATCCAAATCTACCGAAAGGAAGACCAACCGGTGGATTCGGTAGCCACGTGTAGAACATGGCTGTAGCAGTTAACAAATGTGTATGTGGATACACATTTTTTTTTCTATGTTGGCAAAGTGAAGAATATTATTTGCAAAAAGACACTGAGAGGCCTGGCTATTTGCTGTTCAACATGTAACGCAGGTGTTTCTGGGACTGCTCCTTGCCCGTGTCTTTGCCAGTGCTCACCTGTACCTGTGTAGGGGTTTTTGCAAATAATATTCTTTATGTTGCCAAGTCAGTAAATCTTTGTGTAATTCAGTATTCTCTCTTTATTATTTGTGCATTTCTCAAAAAAGTGGTATGATGTGGGTGATGCTGAATAGTGTTTCTCAGCCATCCTGGAGTAATTTTATAGCAGGAGACCGTGCTCTCAACAGTGACCGCTCATCTCCCACCTGCCACTTCTCGGTCACAAGGAGGGAGAGAAAAGGTGTTAATGGTTCAGTATGAGTGCACAGTCAGCACTCTTAAGAAAGAGATGAGCTTTCCCTGAAGACAGAGTCTTTTCTTTGGTGGACCCTCCAATTAATTCATGAATCAGAGATGTTTTCAACAAAGCCATCTTCACAGAGTTTCTTAGATTTTTTTTTTTTTTTTAAGAAAAGGGAGAAAAGAACTTGTTTGGCTTTGTTTTGGCTTTCCGTGTGCCGTTGCCAGCTTTGGTCCTCAAGTGTGGCTTGGTCTCAGCGTGGAGGCTTATTGGTTCTAGTGGAAGAAGGTGTGTGTGAGGGAATGTGGATCACGGCAGTGAGAAAACACAGCACTTACCAAACACAGTGTCTGGGTTTCAAAGAATCGAGTGTTTCCCCCATCCTGAGATGATAATTTTGATTTTTTCCTGCATTGAAAATGTCCCATTTCCTTTCCTTTCACATTTGCCAAGTGCTCGGGTGTTAGATTTAGAGACCCTGCCCCCACCCCACCCTGGCCTCCAGCCTGTGCGCAGTGACCTCTGTTGTTCACCCCATGAGACTGTTTTCATGCTTTGCTGAAAAACCTTGTTTTCACATGTATCCTTCAAATAATTTGAAACAAAGGTTTTATTCCTTCTTTTCCTTCTGGTGTCAGTCAATTTATTATCAAATTGTTTGATTGTAAATTCTTTTCTTGTCGTTTTGCAGAAGCCGAAAGCGGTATGCGCTCTTCGTTAACTTCCCTCCCAACCTCCCTCTATCTTCACTCTAACCACAGGACTAACTGTTTGTCAAGAATCCAGGAAGATAGAGATTCTATATATATGTGTATATGTATATATAATCTCAGTCCCTTGCCCAGTGTCTATATATATATATTCATATATTTTATATATGTATATTTATATATTAACCCCTCTCCAATTAGAGTTCATAAAAATTGAAAGTAGCATATTGCTTTTCTTGTTGGATTTGTTGATTCTTTTGGATGACGCACTAACTTCTTTGCAGGAAACCTAGAAAAAAAAAACAGCAAAAACAAACCCAAAAGACACAATCCTATTTTCAGTCATGGCACCAACCATGGGAACGATGCTATTCACGTTGAAAAGGAGGATGCTTCTCTCCAGCCCTCGGTGTCTGTTTCTGTCCTGTCCTGATGTGTCCTGGTGTCCACCAGCCTCTGGTGCCATTTGTCTGCATCCCACATCCACATTCCCATGACCTCCTCCTTCCCATGTCCGTGTTCCAGTCTGTAGAGCAGAATTTGTGTCCTTTTATCCACAAAACAGAGACCAAGCCCGCATACCACCCTCCCTTTCCTTACACTTATTTTGATGATAACATTTGGATATTTATTTTTTGGGCAGTGCTCTGTGCAGACTTAGGGTACTGCTACTTAATTGCCAGATTCTCACATTTGTTTTGCTGAATGAGTACTGTTCATGGAGATGGACTTAGGCTTTCTGTCTTCCCCAGTGTATTTGGGCGGATTTCTCAGTATGAAGTATATCAGTTCACCTTGCGCCCTCACCCTTTGCCGCTGTTATATGTTGCATGAAGCATGACCAAATCCTCATTGATAGATTTATGTTTTTATTTTTTGGTTAATGTTTCCAGTGTAGCTTTTCAGTGTGTTCTGTCTCTAAGGAAGTGTTGTTGGAAACATACTGTTGAGATGCTTACTTGTTCATCTTCTCAAGAGTTGTTTTTCTCTGTGGTTGTAACTGCTGTCATGTTTGTGTCCATAACTGTGTGTGTGTGTGTGTTTGTGTGTGTGTGTCTGTGTGGAACTCTTTCCAAAGTCAGATTCTTCTGTGCTCTTCTGAGATGTGTGATAATAGAGGTGGCTTCCTGTCAGTTTGGTATTATTGTTATGATCCAACTGCGAGAAGTTACTGCAACACTGTACATCTTCCAAGGCCCACAGTGGTTGCACCTGTGCTGTTGGCCCTTGGCCTTTGAGTCCTTTATTGTGTGGTGAAGGCATGTTGTGATGTAGGCATGATGTTACTTAAAGTGTACCAGAAGAGACTTGGCTTGTTCCCAGAACCAAACCTCCAGCGTTGTCCTTTCCAGATGAACTCTCTCTCCTCTGTCCCATTTGGCCGGCTTTCCTTATGTGCAAAATCGATTTAAAAATGCCATTTCTAAAAGAATAGAGTTGGCACCAGGGTAAACATGCCATTGGTGGACCCCAGTAGCGGTCACTTGAGTCTGAATGACTGGGAGCAATCTTTGTTATGGTCTCTGTGTAGGTGACCTGGGCCAGTATGTCGAAGCATGGAATCCACATTGGGAAGTGTGTGTGTCTAGTCGTGTGGGACTCGGCAGTTTATATTTAACGCCCAGAAGAAACAAAAAGTTCCAGAAAGGCAGTGAGATTTGGGCTTTCTGCCGTCTTTTCCCTGACACAGCCCCAAACTGCTGGGCAGCTGTACTCCCTGACATGGGAACCAATCGGTGCCAACAAAGTCCCACCAAAAGCAATTGCAGATGACCTTGTGTGGTCCAAGAGACCACCTTCAGTGGCATAATTCCTCTGGGCACAGCATGAACTGAAGTCCTAGATGATTCTTATTCTCTTGTTCTAGGTAATGAAGTCCCATTAGCTTTCTAGACACAGATATAATGACCATGTTATCAAATACATACTATGTTCTCTTGAAAGTGATATTTTGTAATTGCTCAGGGAATGGTACATTACACCCACCAGAAATTGAGCAGGGAGGAAAGAGATACACACCTGTCATATTTTTCCATAATGGATGAAAGTTTCCTTTAAAAAGTATCTGTTTCAGTTGAATTAGTAGACAATCATTGGTTGTCTCTAAAAGCAGCAAACAAGTAAAGTTTATGATAATTGGAGCAGAAATAACTAGATGTTCCCGGTTGTTATATCAAGTGGTGGAGAAAGGGAATACGTCTTTTCTCCCCCTCAAGCCCCAAATCTCCATCCTGATCAAAGTTCAGCAAGAGATACACAATGCAATGCATTGCAGCTTGGGAGGACCCTGGCAGAGACATTTCTCTGGTGGACTGAGCCCTGCTAGCCAGTTTCACGTGAATGCGTCTTATGTTTAGGAACACATATTCCAGTTCTAAGTGAGTGGTGTTTTCTGTATTAAAATCAGTTGCTTCAACTCCCTACGTGGCCAGCTGTTTATATATTTGTTATTTGCATATTTATACTTAATGTCTCTGGGATATTGCTAGCTCATTTGCCACCCCCCTAGAATAGGTGTGGTCACTCCTCCAATAAGCCAACTGATAAGAACTGCAGCTTGGTCTTTGAAAGAACAGCTGTGACTACCTTTCTCCTTAGTAGAGAGGGAAAGGAACAGAGACCTATGACTTATGTTTTTCACGCATTCAACAAGTAGTTGAAAAGTGCCTACCGTGCAGGACTCTAAGCTTGCCACTATGTGAATCTAATTTATAAAAGTAAAGAAAATATGATCATGCTTTTTACTCCTTTACACAACTATGAGTTCCCGACAAAAGATATTTATTTGCTCCATAGTGTGGGTGAGGAGCCAAGGAATATGTCTAGATACAAAATTAGTCTGAAAGCAAAAGAAAGAGCGAGAACAAGAATCCCCAGGGAAGGGACCACGCCAGCCCTGTGCCTCCAGCTATCACTGAATCTTTTCAGTCGAAATTAACAAGTCAGAAGAAAGAGGATAATTTATAGGTTCCTTGAAATGAAGGAAAGTCCACCCCTGCCAAGAAAATGTCCCTATTGGAATTCTGCTAATTGATATATGGACTTTTTTCTTAGAGATTTTCTTGATTCTTCACATGACACATCTTAGAGTTTATCTCTATCTGATAAGCTAGTGAATTAGACAAAATTGGAGCCAGGACTGATTTAAAGTGATGCACGGGGGTGGGGTGGGGAGGGGGTGGGGAGGCTTCTGGCAGCCATAAGAACAAACAAACTTAACACTGGGTATTTTAAGAGATCAAAGATAGTTGGAAAGATTTACATATTCCCACTGGGAGGTCAGTAACCTATTCTGTGGAGAGTAGGCACTGTGCAGGAACAGAGAAGTGACTTCTGTCCAGGATCCTAATCGTCTTTATATTTTCAAACAGACGAGGATCAGTACTTTAAACTTTCTAGATTTGGAATGTGTATAGAAGACTTAATGTCTAAAATATCAAAAAAGAGTAGAACATTTCCACGGAGTCTTTGGAACTTTGAACCCTTGCACAGGGCGAGCTGTATGCAGTGGGCCTGGCATCAGGCTCACCTGCTTCGTCACCAAACCCCTGGGTGTGTGAGCGGAATCCAGCGCAAGTATCCAGATGCCTGTCTTGCATCTCAGAAGCTGGGCTCATTCTTTCAGCTCATGCACCACATAGAGATGATTGAAAGCCTCCCAACCCTGTCCAGGAGAGAATGAGAGAACATTCTGGAATCACCTGGTCAGTGATGTTCTTGGAGGTCCGTAAAGTTGAAGGGACAGAGACCCACTCTTCTGTGCAGCCAAAGGCCAGTCCAGATGAGCTCACCTGCAGATACTGTGCAGGAAAAAGTCTTTCAGACACCGTGGTCAGTGAGAAGGGCTTCAGTGCCTCCTGGGTAGTTTCTTCGTGCCAAGGACACAGTGGGGAGCTGTGATGCTGGGAGAGATGACTTATTTCTGAGGTCATTGTTGTCTTTTTCTTACTCTTAAGTGACCGTGTATTAAGGATCTGCTATGTAGCAGTCACTTGGCACATAGGGTGCACTTCAATTCTCTTAGCAACATGGGAAGCTAGTGCTTCTTCAGCTGTCTCACAGATGAGGAGAGTGAGGCTTAGCGGCATCCCCGTGCCCAAGGCCAGGCCTGAGGCCCCAGGCCTGGCACGTGCCGGTGCCCGTGTGCTCGCCTCGCAGCGGCAGCACTGAGATTGGACACAGATCTGCCTTACGTCCGTCCCCGAATCTTCCTCTCCACCTCAGACTTGCCTAGAGCAAGCCGAGGGCTGTGATACGTGATTCCAACCTGCAGCCTCTGAGTGACAGTCCGAAATCCTTCCCGCAGGCCAGTTCTTCACTGACGGCACCTTGCGGCTCCACGTGGCGCGTGCGGGTCAGTCCTGCCTGCACTCACTGAGGCACACTCTGTGGCAAAGGGGCAGCGGGCTCTGGGGAGGCTGGTTTTGTGCATGGGTGTCACCAGGACATTGTGAGTGTTAGATTTCCCCCTTTGGAATTGTGTTGCTGAAATCATGATACGATTTTTTTTTTTTCACTCAGGAAGCTTTTTAAAAATATTCCTAAATGAATACATGTCAACAGGTAGAATTTTCCAATTTCAAGGAATTATTAGCTCCTTTAGACTCCAGAAGTACCCAGAATTTTTTATTATATCCTTGTCCATTTTTCTAAAATATACAGTTCCTCACCCTGCAACTTCCTCTCTGTATGGCCAGGGTGTTTTGTAAGAAGCCCCTGTGTGCCACTTCCTGGGGCCAGCTAAGAAAAGTTGGCTCATTCACTGAGGATGAAATACCTCTGTGGCTTTTCTGCAATAGTAAATAATAAAAGGAACAATAACCAATACACATGGAGCCTTCTGTCCATGATCCCGCTTAATCTTCTGAAGAAAGACTATGATTATCATCATCCCCGTCTTGTGGGTGAGGAGGATGAGTTCCAGAGAGGTTCAGGAACTTGCCCAAAGTGAGCCACTGCGACATGGCTATGCTGGAACTTGGACCCACTTTCTGATTGCAGAGCCAGGGCATAAGAACTGCCTTGCAGGAACGGGGGTAGGAAAGTATGCAAAATCCAGAGTGCTGACTGTCTAAAACATTGCGCTTAATCAGCTTGGAAAGGGAATCTGGTTAAACTGTAGAAGCTCAGGCCCTTTCCTCCCGGTGCTGATGACAAGTCAGAGGGCGGTTCCAGGAACGGAAGCACTGGAGGAGGTAGTTAGGAGGCATCTCAGCACTGCCCTTTGCAAGCTGTGCAGTTAGCGGGCCTGCTTCTGCCAGTGCGTGAGGGCCTCGCTGCTGTCTGTGGTCCCAGGCAGGACAGTCAGGTCTTCATGGGCTGTTGCTGTTATTTAGTGGCAATCATAGCAATGACATGGGGTTGGTTTCCGTCTGTCATGTCTTGTTATGGGTAACAGTGGATGTTCTTGTGACCACAGACAATTATTTTGCAATAATGGTCTACTCCGTTCTCCCAATAGAACAGAAGTTCACCTGGGTCCTTCTTGTATTGCTACAGACACATGGCTCTTTTGGCCACAGCACTTTTCTGGAATGGTTTTACCAGCAGAAAAGGATTACATGTTAATTGGCCATCCTCCATTGTGATTGTTTTAGGCAGTAAGGACTTCCTTTAGCCTGTTTCCAAACATCTATTACATGAAACACCCAATTTTTAGACCAGAGACTCCCTCCATGGTATCTGTTGCTGAATTTAGAGTCCCTGAATTCCATATCCATGCAGCCCACAGCCCCATCGTAGTCTCTGTGAAGTGTTCCTGGATTCTGCTTTTGATCGGCAGAAAATTAAACTTGTTTGTTTCATCCATTTATTAGATTAGGATACATTTATCTCACCTGTCAGTCCAAACACAACTTGGTCAGCTAATCTATTTATACCACTTTGAAATAGGACAGTGTATATTTAGGTTCATCTTCTCTGCAGGGAACTTTTTTGTGTGTGTGTGGTAATTTGCATTTGCTTTCTAATTAGTTTGCCCCAATCAGGATGTGCTAGATACACACCTTATTCAAAGGCTCCCTTACATTTCTGTAAAGAGCAAGCTGGAATCATTAAGAGTTTCCAATTGCTGGCATTTTCCTTTCTCACTCTTCTGGGAGACCCAGTTCTTTCTACACAGATTGTACATGGAATCCACTTCCATGTCCTCATCAATGTCATGCAGATGTTCTGTTTGCTTCTGCATTGGTATGGGTGTCTTGTACCATTCCCTGCAGTGATATGTGGTGTGTGTACATGTATGTTTCTGTTTGCATATAGGGGTCCCATTAATGCTCTGTCATCTAATGGAAAATTGGTGTAGCAATAGCTTTATTAGACTAATAACACTCAATGTTGATAATCAACAGCATTTTTCAAAGAAGTACATTATTGGGAATTTTGCTTCAAATCAGAAGCCCATGATGGCAACCCCTAAAACCTAGATTTGCTTTGATTTCTGCAACTGAGAGTATGCCAACCTGGGAATTGAGCAGCTGAGCTTTATGATGGCTTTATCCAATTAAATGTGTGGGACAGTGGATGGCAATCTCGGGACGAAATCTCTGGGGAAAGCAGTAGACTAGTGGGCCCCCTATAAAATTAACAGTATGGTGTAGCCTTCAAGGTTTTACTTGAACATGACCTCACACATGTGTCTTCTTTGTTTGTTTTTGTTCACTGAGCAGTATATTAATTAATCCTGGAAACCATCTTAAGATCCAAGAAGGTACTTTAGGATTTTTCATCGCAAGTGATGCCAAAGAAGTTAAAAGGTAAGAGTTTATTTTCACCTGCCTTTCTTTCTCTTCTACCATAGACACCCTGACCCATCAAGGTGGGCATGCCGTCGTATGTTGTATTTGGCCCTAACCCCCAAATTTCTCAACATATCTTTGGGCATCAAATGGTGCCAAATCTTAGGGAAAAGGGGCCACTCTTTCAGATGTTTCCATGGGCTCCTCTTCACAGAATCAATTCCACATCTTTGAATGAGAATAATAACATCTTAGAGTTGGGAGGGACTAGTTAGTTCCTCCTCCATTTCCAAAGGAAGCAAACAGAGGTCCTGAGCGCTGCATTGCTTGTTCAAGCTCCCCCACCCCCGGTTCTCAATGACCCAGAACAACATGGCACAGGACACCTGCCTCCTCATGCTCTGTACTTAGTGTTACTAGTCGGGCAAAGTTACTTGAGAATCATCAGTGCTTTACTTTTAGTGTCAAATGGAATCTCAAGAGGTTTGGATGGATTTCAGATGAAATACTGAACTGGTTGTATTTCTCTTTGTGGCCTTCTAGGTCAGTGACTGCGGTTGTCAGGTTCAATTCTTAAGCCTCTGTTGGTATAGCCCAGGGTTTCATTGGCCTCCGTGTTTTATGACACCTTTATTACTATCCTGAAACCTGTTCAGACAGCCTAGGAAATCCCAGGGCTCTTCGCAGAACACCATGGAATATAGTTGGTTATATTTGATTCTATCCTATGGACTAGGAGACATTTACTAGCAGAAAATGTGACTCAATGGTAAGATAGATCACTTAGCTCAACAATAACATTACTTAAAAGATTTTCAATAAGTTATTAATTGTGAAGGTCTGTCATTTGTTTAAGCCTGTTTCTTCATTTAATGAGTTCCTACTCAAAGCCAGGCATGTGCTGAGTGTCCTACATTCTTTATGGCTCCTCCTCAAAATAAACGCATGAGGTAAGTCTCCTAAACACTTAGGCTTTGGTTTCCTCATCTGTGAAACTAATGTTTTGTCCAGGCCACACGGCACACAGTCAGGTGGCAGAGCCTGGGGGGGGGACCTGTCTTTCCTTTTCAAAACCCACAGTTTCTGGCAGACATAATAATACGAGCAAGTTCTCATGTGTGGGGTTTAGTATGTGGCGGCCCTGTTCTGCGTACCAGGGGCCAGGTGTGGGGGACTCACACAATCCTCTCCATAGCCCCATGACATAGGTGGCATTATTAGCCCTATTTTACATATGAGGAAACTGAGGCACAGATTGGCTAACTAACTTGCTCAAGGCCACACTGCTGGCAGGAAGTCTTAGGTTCTTAATTAATTGCCCACACTGAGCCTGGCATGCTGAGCACAGAACTGTATTTGAGAACTGATGCTTATTGTTACCTTCTCCATCACCCACTCTTCAAATTAGCCATGCCATTCACTAAAGCGTGCAGGAAAAAAATGGGGTGGAAATGCAAAAAAAAAAAAGTTTTTAACTGAGCTATCTAATGACTTAAATTTACTTCTGCAAAGTTAGCATTATTCATGTATGGGAGAGGAAAACCCCTATCCAGTTCCTGGGTCCTCACTGTTCTTTAGGAGCACCCCGTGAACTGGGTTTACCTGAGAAGACAGGTGGAGTGGGAGTGGGACTGAACACCATCACCCAGGTCCCCCAGAAGAGAAGGTGCTGCTCACAGCCAGGCTGAGACACGAAGCACCGCGGGCGGGGCTGGAGCACACGGCCCCCAGCTCACGTGTACCTCCCACATAGCAAATGGAACACACAGCTCCCATTCGCGTAATTCTATTTCCTATTGCATTGCTCACTAATGAATGTCACAAATACCAGGCAAAAAACAAATTACCTCCTATATCAGGGAGTGCAGCGTGTCTCATTTCGTGCTTTATGGTGTTCACAAATACATGCTGACACCAAGTTAGGCCAGCCTGTAATTTTCCGTGGTGTGCGATGTGTCAGAGCAAACGCTGTCAGTTAGGGGATTTCAAATAGATGAAGACTGCAGAAAGGGCATCGGTGATTTGAATGAAACTAAACAAGTTTTGTAAAAATGGAAAAGTCGATTATGATGCTCCTGTATCAAGTTTGCACTCTCTGCTGCAGAAAAGCAACCAAGGAAGTTAATGGATTCTGGCTCATGAAAACTTTCAGATGCAGTGTTTTAGAGAAAAAAAAAAGGAGTGAAACCATCCAATTCCAGTCTTAACAAGGTCACATTGGGAGAAGTATTTGGGCCCTTGTCCTTTCCTCCTTGCCACTAAACATTTGGGTTTTTAAATGACCACATAGTATTTCATGTAGGAATCACAAAATGGTGCCTCATTGACTCAGCTTGGCTTGCAGACATTGATTCATTTGAGTAACAACAACAACAACAACAAAACAAGTTACCAAGCTGAAGAAGTCCTAATCTTTTATGTAAAAATCCCAATTGCTTGTTTCTCCTGAAAAACTTGCAGACCCAGCATTACTGGGCAGCATTTATTCATTCATCAAACGTCCTTAGGTCACTCACTTTCTGGGACACTGTACGAGGTGCCAGGAAAACAGCGGAGAGCAGTCCTTGCTCTCATGGGCTCACGATCCATGTAGGAGAGATTGCAGCTGTTAATTATGGTGCAAAGCATTGATGGATCTGGGTCGCTGATTTAGATGGAGTGTAAGTGAAGGTGGTTTGGAGGGAGTGATGCTTGAGTAGAGACTGAGTTGATGGGAAAGAATCCATTATACAAAGATCTGAAGGGAAGAGGAGACATTAGGGGAACACGTTTGTTGTGTTTAGGGACCCAAAGGAAAAAGAGGGTATCTGGGGGAGTAGAGTGGTGAAGTGAGGCTAGTTCCTAAAGGACTTTATACAGAAGTTGGATGTGTTATCAAGTAGAGTCATGGGTGGTTTTATGCTGGTGGTAATGTTGTCTGATTTATATTGTTATTATTTGTTGTTGTTGTTGTTTTGTTAATCTTCACCTGAGGATATTTTTTTCCATTCATTTTTAGAGAGAGTGGAAGGCAGGGAGGGAGGCAGAGAGAGAGAGAGAGATAAACATTGATGTGAGAGAGACACATTGTTGGTAGCCTCCCATGTGTGCCCCAACTAGGGCCATGGATAGAACTTGCAACTCAGGTAAGTGCCCTTGACCAGGAATAGAACCTATGACCTTTGGTGCTCGGGCCAGTGCTCTAACCATTTAGCACACTGGCCAGGGCTGATTTATATTATTAAAAGGCCTTTCCACCTGCTCTGTAGAGAATCAGATGCAGTGGAGCAGGAGAGGAGGTCAGGAGACTCGGAGACTCCTGCATGGAGTGGGTGAGAGATGATGGCTTGGGCTATACTGGTGAGTAGAGGTGGTGAGGAATAGGATTAATTCAGCATATATTTTGGAGCACGTAGGACCCACTGATGAAACTGGGCATAAGAAGTGAAGGAAACGAGGAATCAAGAATGGAGCCTAGATTTGAGTCTTACACAATTGGGTGGGTGATGGCTCAATTTACTGAAAAATGGGGGAAGGAGCAAGTTTGGGGTGGAAGGAATTGAGGAATTCTAATTGGCTATGTTAAGTAGGGTATATGGAGATGTCATAAAGGCAGTTGGCTCTAAGATTCTGGAGTTCTGGGCAAAGGGGAGGCCTGGAGATGTCAATTTGGGTGCTGTATCAGTGAGGGTCCTGGCAAGGAACAGATGACACACTTAAATGGGAGAAAGGAGGAGAGTCTGTGAAGAGAATCTATAAAGGTGTGGGAAGAATTAAGGAAAACCAACAAGAGATGGAAAAGCACTCAGAGTTAGCAACAGAGGGACACCACCGTCAGCCTTAGAGTCAAGGGAAGGAAGGCTGTCAGAACGGGACATGGAGCTGGTCCTGTAGGAAAGGACCTCACAGGAGCTGTGTCCTTCTGGAGGGAAATTCTCTACTGCCATTTTATGAGCTGGTAGGGAGGGACTCATCTCTTCTCACCATTCGGTCGCCTGCTGGCTCCCCCATTGGACAAGCACAGTGAGAGACCAGAGAACAAGGGGACCCGAAATGCCACCCTCACAGGATGCAGAGCTGGTCTTGACGACGTATGTGCAAGGTCACCAGCTGAAGGCTACTTGAGGAAGGGGTGGGTGTGCAGGAGAGGAGAGCAGAGAGGGCCGAGATGGGAGGAGGAGAAAGGGCGTGGGTCCTGAGGAGTATAAAAACCAAGGGTTTCAAGTGAGAGCAGGCAGCACAGTCGTGTTTCCTTTCCTCACCAACACTCAGTTGCTCAGGTGCAGTTGTGCAGCAAGGTGGGGGCTTTGCCAGGTGAGCACGAGAGAGGCAGAGATTGGGAGGGACTGGAATGGTGCTTGCAAAGACGTGCCACTTGGCAAAAATCAGCTGGAGCTTAGACACGCTGCCCTCTCCAGGTGGGGGATGTGTCTCTAGGTCACCGCAGACGCACACCTTCACCCCATTCACTCATTAACTTGACCTGCCTGACTCCTGTGGGTATTTACATTCAGAATCTCACTTTAGTTCATGAAATAATTATACTTTATCTTTTCAGTGGTCTATTCAGGATCATCATCATTTCATCACCTCTCTAGTAGAGATGTGTTTAACACCTTGGGCACTGGGACTAGACTGTGTGGATTTTAATCCTGGTTCTGCCACTCGGCTGTGTGACCTTGGGCAGATCACTTAACCTCTCTGTTCTTCAATTTTCTTATCTGTAAAACAGGTATAATAATACCTCCTTCAAACACTGTTTGAGGATAAACTATGTTAATACTTGTTAAATGCTTAAAACAGCACCTGGCCTATGGTCTGTGTTCTATTAATGTTCGCTATTATAATTAATATGTGTAGGAACATCAAAGAAGGGGATGAGCATAGGAAGTAGAAGCAAAACGGCTTCCTCCTCTCCTGCACCTCCCCTTTCGAGAGGCAGGTCACCGGTGACTGGGTTCTTAGCCACCTTACCCCTGAGGGCAAACGGTCAGTCACTTTTTAAGTTTTTGTAAAACAGATGAAAACCAGCATTTAAAGAAATAGTGAATGAGCTGCTCGAGTGGAGGGAGCATAGGCTTGGATCTAGAAGTCCTGGGGCTGGCCAGGCTCCAGCACAGGATGGCTTGAGGCAGGTATGACGACTTCCTCCATTGACAAACGAGGGCACAGAGACCCCAGGATTTTAGGTGCAAGATCTCAGATCTCTTCCAGATCAAGTCTTAACAGTAGTTTCCACAAATGTTAGTCCTATGAAAAACGGAAAGGAACCTGGGAATAAAATGGCCAAGAATGTGTTTATTTCTTTATAGCCCTGGTCATGGAAAACCCGTTTTTCGCTGGCATTCAGCGTCATGCTGGGGTGGGGAGGTGCTGAACCGGGGATTTCGTTAGTCTCTGTACTCAGAAGGTTGTGAGGCTGTTCAGAGAATTTCATCACCTCCCCAGTACTGAAAGGCCACAGGCCTCCGGTGAGTTTTTCTAGGTCCAGAGCATTTTAAATAGTGCTCGAATTTATTTGACCTCATCCGGAACATCTTTGACGTGGCCAGCACACTTTGCATCACATATCGACACTGAAATAAGATAAGGGGGTTTTTCTATTGACTGACTGCTTTCTCTGGGTCTCCTACTCACCTCCACTGTACAGTACCCTTTGCCCACCCCATCCCAGAGGTCAGCTGAGCAAAGCTCCATAGTGGGAAGAAAGTCTTCATTTATTACATGATCTCAAGGCTGGAGAACACGGGAGTTGGTCCCGACAACTTGACAGTAAATATGGGCGATGAAATCCCAGGAGGAGATTGACAGAGGAACCCCGTGATTCATCACTTTTGATTTTCACTTTCCAATCTCCTCCTCAACCTCTCTCATGGTGGCTGAAATGAAAAGATACTTTCAGAGGGACAAGAAGATGATTTGTATTTGGCCGAGGACCGCCATCCTGTGCCCCTTGAATGTGTAGTTAAGCAGACTGAGGATTTCGGAGGTGTATGGAACTCCCCGCGAGGGCCGGGGCTGCCTGTCCATGTGTTCGGAGCAGCAGCATCGAGGGCTGTTCTCAGGAATGAGAGGCAGGCGGAGAGACCCAGTGTCCTCCCGGCAGCCCTTACCCCGTTCCTCTCAGATGAACGTTTATTAAAAGAAGCACTAAATCAAATCGCAGAAACCTGTGTTTGAAATAAATGGTCTTGCAACAAACATTTCCGTCTGTAAACGTCTAAACCTTTCAAAAGATGAAAGGAAATTAGTGCTGGCGTGTTTCATTAATTTGGCACCACCGCGAGGAAATGTGGGGCTCATTGCATTCGGGTGGGTTATGAAATGTGTCCGTTTTTCCGTTCTCTTTCTCCAGGGCATTTTTCTACTGCAAGGCTTGTCACGATGACATCACAGATCCCAAAAGAATAAAAAAATGCGGCTGCAAACGGCGTAAGTAGCATCTTTTTTCCCCGTCCCTCCCTCTCTCCTTCCTTTTTCCCCAAATTAATTTCCCTTCTCCTTTTCCTCTTGAAGAAACACTAAACATCAAGAGTTTCCTTGAACATGTTTATGTTTCGCCCAGCAGTTTAAAGAGACATGGAATAAATACCTGTTCTCACTTTGGTAGAGCAGAGGGTGAAAGTCACCGCGGCCAACCCCTGGGAGTAAGCCTAGCGCCCAGTCCCACTCCTTGGCTGACGGGAGGCCTGGGTGGAGGTGTGCGGTCGAACACAGTGAGCACGGTGTTGGGCGAGGACAGCAGCGCCGTGGAGGGTATCTCTGTACAGTCATGCCCAGTGGATATGGGATGCCAAGTGTCCAGACGGCCGGACTAGGGCCGAGCGGGAACCTGAGTGTGAGGACCAGTCTCCCGAGGGGGAGCTCTCTCTCTATCGGGAATGCGGCAGGTTTTGGTACCAAAGGTCAGAGTTTTCAACTGTGATACCTTCAGACTGGCTCAAGTAAAGAACATGGCCATTGCCTATGGATTTTGTCACTGTCCGGGTGACCAACCTCAGACACCACTGCCCTTTGCAGGAGACGGGATTGGGCCAAGGCAGCTTCTGGTGCAGCTGATCTCAAACCCCTTCCGACAGCTTGCGGGGGAGTCAGGGCTGTAGGGTCCTGAGCTCCTGAGAACCCAGGACCTGAGTGGGCTTTGTCTCCAGGGGGCCACGCCTGCTGCATGGCCTAACAGTTTGCTCACAACCCTGGAGAAACGTGAGCATGACACCTTCCTTCCTATGTCCAGTCTCTTCAGAGCGCCTTGGGGTCATTGTTTTATTTGATCCTCACCATAATCCTGCATCGTTGGCAGGGAGTGTTATTAATCCCATTTTACAAAAAGAAGAAATTAAATCTAGTTCCGTGACAGGATGAGATTACCGACGTTACAGAGACCCAGCAGACAGGCTCGGGCTTGCCCGAGGCCTCTGGTGCTGTGCCCTAACCTGCGTCAGGAGAAAGGGCGAAGTGGGCAATCTGGGTCAGAGGAGTCAGATGCAGTTAGAGGATCATCCCATAAAGCAGTTTGTCAGGAGCAGGAACCAAGCAGGTGAACACCGTTCCTGGGACACACAGGGCTTTATTCACTGCACCCCTAGAGGGGGCCCCTAGATGTGAAACAGGACGTCAGTGCCGCTGCTCTGGAGTGTGGAGAAGACACGCGGGTCTTGGGCAAATCCCCACGCGGAGCGTTCTCGGTCTGCAGCAGTTTCTGTAGAAGTCTGTTCAGGCTGCTTCCCGGCCTGGGGCAGCTGGTGCCCACTGTTTTACTCCCCCTTCTTCATTGACTTAACACACAGAGTCCCCTCCTCTCAACTCTGACATCCCCCAAGATGAATATTTACGGAAATCTCAGAACCAGAGCCTCTGACTTCTTGGGGCCTGAGAATCCTCCTTTTCTGACAACCTTTCATAAAGTGTCTTTTCCGGATCTTTCCCATCAGAAGCGACATACCGTCCGAGGTGGAAATAAGCAGGACAGAGTAACAGATGCCAGCGGAACCCTTTGTAAGGAGACTCACAGTGGCGTGGCATGGGCAGCGCAGGAGAGCTTGAGGCCAGTGATTCACAGAGAACCTGGTCCCCTGGGGGTCCCAGTGAGATGCACCTGCGGGTCACGTCCGTGCGGTTTGAGTACCTTGTTTGTGCAAGGCACTATTCTCATGCTAGGGATGGAGCGGTGAACGAGACGAAGTCCCTGCCCCTCGAAGCCTTCATTCTGGTGAATGGTCACAGAACAGTGATCACAGAAACAATGAAATGCATTCAGATAGAGACGAGGGCTGTGAAGAGGCTGGAGATTACCCGAGAGAGCTGCTTTAGCTAGAAGGCTCTGGAAGGTCTCCCTTGGTAGGTGGCTCTAACCCTGAGATCCAGTCCAGGTAGGCAGACGAGGTGGGCAAAGGCCAGGAGCAGAAATAAGTTTGCAGTGCAGCTGCTGGGATTGGAGAGAGGGTACAAGACAGGACCGGAGATGAAAGGCAGGCGCCATGGCTCGAAACTCGGCTTTAGTCCTACAGTGACTATAATCGTTTATAAGCAAGGAAATAACGTGGCCGGTTCCTGCTGCTCCGCTCTCCCTGGTGACTGGACAGAGTAGCTTCAGGGAAGCAGGAAGGACGGAGAGAAAGCTGCTCGGACTCCCACCGAGCTCTTCCTCCGAGGGCGCTGTAGTGCAGTTAGCAGGCAGATGGCCAAGTCCCTAGGAATGCGTTGGCCTCTAGGACATTTGTCCATCTTGGTTCAAGGCAAGCAAACAGCAGCAGTCCAACACCATCCTGGAGGGAAAAGCCATAGTTGTTGGAACTCATTTTCTTTTCTTCATTTCCATTCAAGTTGGTTCAGCTAGTGGAGCGTTTGACCTCCCACCATGCACAGCATAGATCACTACAATGGGACCGCCTCCCCCGAGCCAAGCCAGTGTCACGAGGGTCTCATCCCTGCTCCCTCACCCTCCTCCCCACATGCACGCCTCCTCTCGTAGGGGCCCTCAGCCTGAGGTTCGTGGTTGATAACAACTGGAATAGTCCAGATACTGTTCTTCCTCATGAAGAGGCCACCGCAGCCTGTGCCCTGGAGGGCAGGGTGCAGGTGTAAGTGATAGTTAGAATAAATGAGTTACTAGACAGGAGGTATACTAGGCAAGTCAGGAAGTCAGGGAAGCGTGGTTTGGGTTGCAAAGAAACTGTCCTGAGAAGGAGCTAGACTTGTTAACGTGACTTGAATGCACGTTGTCCGATGCCCTAAGTTGGAGAGAGCAGCCGGCCCACATAGTCATTTGTCTGAACCTGGTAGGCCAGGTGTTAATAACTTACTAGAATGACACATCTCCATGAGGGCAGAGCTGGTGACAGTCGCCGGTCCTTATGCACAGCTTCCTAACCCTCCTCTCCCAGCCCAGCTCTTCTCCCCCCCCCCCCCCCCACCTCCCCATCCACTTCTGTTCGATACCTTGAAACGTCTCACGTCCCACTATCTGGAGAAACATCGAGCGTGGACCTTCCATGCCTGGGACTTCTGCCGTAGTATAGTTTAACTTTTGCATTTCTTTCCATTTCTTCATAGCTGTCCATCAAGGAAGAGGGCCAAACCCAGCGTCTGGCCAAGGAGCATGTTCTCAGCATCTACTATACATTTCTTTTTCTGTATAACACACCTGGTCTAACCACTGATATTTTCTCCCCCAGCCTCAAAAGTTTGCCAAAGGGTAGACTCCCCGGGGACAAGTCATGTCTAAATTGATGTGTTTGAAGAAATTTTCTTGAACTTCTAATCATTGACATATTTTTGATTTATTTTTTTCTCTTTGCTGCCTTGGAATACGGCCCCTACTCTATTTTAACTGCACACTGGTAGTGATATATTGTGAGTAAAACGGGTTCCCAACAGCCCGGAGTCCAGTCCCCCTGTCTTTCTCTAGCAGAGATACTTCTTTTATTTTCTGTACAGTTTCAGTTTCTTTTTTTCTTTTGGTATTTATGTTGCATGTAGCAATGACATCATGCCCTGACTCTCTCATGCAACACAGTCTGCAGAGTAGCCTGGAGCTGGAGACCCCTGAGGGCAGACCTCTCTGCCCAGCCACCCTTCCACCTTGCCAGCTGCGGGTACAGTCTTATTTTTCCATTTGAAAATAAGACCTTGACACAGTGTTTCTCTTGAAGGCCTTGTCTCAGGACCTTTAGGGGACACTGCGTAGGCTGAGGTAATTACCACTATAGCTCTAGATGTCTCACTGATTGGGGGTCATCACCAGGCTTGCCTCTGATAAATTATACTTGTCTCAACTATTGAGCTTGAATTTCTATCCTAAAGGAAACACATATACTACATATATACTTCTGTGTTGTGATATATGTATTCTATGTACCAGGACTTTAATATGTACAAATGCACATTTTCATATATAAGTGCAGAGACAGTTTGTAGAGAGACTGGTGCACTTGCTACCATGCGTGCTCCTCCCTGGATGGAGAGTGCTTTCTTTAGAATTAACTGGACACCCAACTTTGGGACCGTGAGCCTTAAACTGCCTCAACGGAGACACGTGTTTCCACAGTGGTAATTATTTCTGACAGTCTATGAAGTTCCCTTGCTTTAAAATAAAGTTTCTCCTTCAATCAGTGCCCACTGGGACATACCCACTTCCTCTGCGGGTGTTAGTCGGGCATCTTGGAAGATGTTTACTTGCTCAGTAAACATCCAGTTGTTGAAGGCGGAAGGGGACTGGAGGAAAATGTTCTGTTTTGCTAATGAGCGAGCAGAAGTCTGAACCAGGAGATGCAGGTCACCCAGCCCTCACTTAGGAAGGAGCAGGACCCCCCCCCCTCCATCGGGGTGCAGCAGTTGAGGAGCTTTGAGGGCCAGTATTTCACGTGTGGCATAAAGCAGCGCTGCTTCCGTGGCACCAGGAATGAGAACGGGGTCCTCACTCAGGTACATGAGACCACTGAAACGACCTGCTGACCGGTTCAGGCCACTGGTCCTGGGATTTGGAAAGATGTCTCAGCACTTGGTCCTCCCAGATTCCTTTGCAGCAGAAGAGGCAAGTCGGTCGTCTGGTTTTGGCTAGTCTTCAGAGTCAGGGGGTGTAGAATGCTCAGTGTGGCCTTCCTTGACGTGGTGCATGATTCTGCAGAATTGGCTCTGCGGCTCCCTGTACCTGCAGAACACCGTTGAGGATGGCGTGAGGGCAGGGACACTCTGCTACCCTCAGAGCTGCAAAGGAATCTGTGATCCTTCAGAATCCGTGGGAAATCTTGATGTCTTTCAACAAGCAACTCCAGTGCCAAATTCCTCTGCCTTCCGCAGTGCGGTGCTGAGGGCAGGACCAGCCAGCGCGGGCTCTGTGCTGCTGACCTCAGCTAGCTTTGCCTTCCCCCTCTTTTTGTTTCGGGAAAACCACCTGGAAGATCTTTCTTCTCCCTCCAGAAGCTAATTGGAGGAATTCTGCTAAGTGAAGACATAATTTCTCATTTATAGGACTTGAAAGAATGCCCTCTGACTCCAGTGTCACGTCAAACAAATGCCTCAACCTTACACCTCGGTGAACTTTTTCTTCCGCGGATGTTTTTACCTGTAATTTTAGTTGCCGTGAGCCTATGAAGAACAGCTCCAGGGTTCAGGCTTGGAAATAATCCTTCCTGCATTGGACTGATTTTGAACATGAGGTTGTGATCTGACAAGTGTCTCTGAATTGAATGGCGGATATTGTTTCTGCCACAACGGTTTTCCCTTGAATTGCTCCATTGGAAACCTAAAATGTTTTTTCCCAGCAGTTGGACAACTCCATCTGAGCCTCTCTGTCCAGTCTTGCCTCTCCTGCCCATTCCAACCCACCCTGGAAATTAAGATTGTGCAATTGGAAATTGGCTGGCAATTTGGTTGCTGATGCAGGAGGCAGATGGTGCTGAGAACGGGCTGGACTCCATCCCCCTCTTCCATTCCAGGCTGGCTGGGGAGGGCTAAGGAGCAGAGAGCCTCATTCTGACAGCTGATTGTCAGTTCCATGCGAGGCTAAAGTCCATCCACAGCACCCACTTCTCCACAGGCGTCCTTTCTCAGGATCACGACCTTTGAAAACCATAGGAAATGTTGTCTAAGAGTACGTCTGAGAAATCTCCCCGTTTTAAACACGAGTAAGGAGTAAACCTTTGATGATGTCCATTAGGGAAATACTTTTATATTGTCTCTATAAATAGTACTAGGAAGTCATAATGGAAATACTGCATGAATAGGCACTTTATTGTGGTGAAGGAAAGCATGTAAAAGACCCCCCTCCCCAAACTGTTAAACTGTTAGGACAGAGTTCTTAGGAGGAAGGTGAGACCCAGGGTCTCATTCTTGGCAACCACATAACCTCTCTGAACCTGTGGCACCAGTCCAGGAACAAGAACCTTATAATGTAGGCCAAAGAGAAACCAGGTCCCCAGAGGCTTATATTTCAGCTCTCCTACAGTTAAGCTGGCTTACGGGGGCGATTCATTGAGCATAAAGTTCTAAGAGCCCTGAGATGGAATGACAAGTAGCTACAATATGTTCACCTACCAGAGACTCGCTCGTGTCTGTTCCCTGTCTCAGGAAGCTGCCCCAGAGCCTCGAGGGCCCAGCCAGCTGGTGCTGAAGTGGTCCTACTCTGCTGGCCATGGCCGCAGGGTCAGTCTTCCACTTTTGACCACTCTAGGACCATCTCTGAGAACCTCTAACCCCTTTGACCCTGCTGCCTCCTAAACATCTGTTGTAGATTGTGAGAAGCCATTGCATTAAAATGACACTGCACACATTTCAGTTCTTAGAGGCACACAGGGTCCTCTTTCTGCTCCCTTTCCGAGAAAGGCCAGATCCTTGGAGTAGTAAGGTAACTGGCTGCTCTTCCAAGCAGATCCACTAGATGTCCTCATAGATCTACTTTGTATTGCCTTTGAAATCCTGGGGAAAGCTCCCTTTTCTCAGCTTTGGGATTTGGGAAGAAAGCATTGGGTGACTACAAAATAAAGAAAATCAGCAAACACTAAAAGAGAGAGGGCACTTTTTGTGGCCAGGGAGTAGATATAAAATTTACTTCTGTTTTCAACAAATACTGAAACTTTCAAAGTTGCTCCTTGAAACCTAACCTTGGGAGTTTTCGGTGGCGCTGTTATCTGAAATTAACCTTCTCACCTACATCAGCTCTAGAAAAGGAGACAATCACAGAGAAATGGAAATAAAATACCAGTGATCTGCATATCCATGATTTGCTGCAACAAAACCAAAGGATTCAAGCCTGAGAGAGAGAGTTCAGGGAGGCAAAGGGTAGTCTTTTTCAAATTAGGAGGCCCATGACTTAATTTTGATATCATTTTATTTTACAACTGGAGAGTATAAGTTTACATACAATGGCCACATCTTCTGGAATAACTGCCACCAGGGAGACATGTCCTCATCTGTTTATAGTTAAAGAGCCCTCTCACGACTATCATGGCCCAGAGGAAGGCTCATCCTGTTGAACACACACCCTGGGGGCCGCCGGGCCACTCCCCAGCGGGAGGTCAGAGAGGGCCTTGCCTTTTAAGAAAGTGGACCTGGAAGTATACAGGTGAAGACACCTGATGGGGGGGTCAATGAAAACGGACTCTTCCAGAAGTAGAGCCAGGAGCGGCCCCTGCAGTTGGGGGCACTTGACCTAGACATTGTAACTGGTAAAGGTCTGTCAGTATGGGGCTCTTTCATCTTTAACTGTTCCTGTCTTGTCTTTGAGCCTCTCATTGATCGTTCTTGCTGATTTTTTTGTGTGTGGTGGTGCTTGTTTGTGTTGAGATTTCTGTTTTGTATTTGGTGTGAGTGTAAAAGTGATGACTGAAGCAATGACGAGTAATAGCATGTTTTCCTTTTTATGCATATGCTGCTTTGGAATGTGACTGCTTATAATTAACATTTAATCTTCTTATAGCAAATGTTTTTTTTGTTGTTTTTTTTGTTGTTTTTTCTCGCTGCTTTGATTACCAGTTTCAGCCTGTTCCTGCATGCTAACAATATGAAATTTTAGAACAATGCATGGTCTCCAGAGGAGCCAACAATAACAGTTGCAAACAGTCCCTGAGAAGTACTGGTTTTAAGTGGTGTTTCCTCCTGAACTCTCATCAAGTAGGAGGTTGAAATCACCCATCATGATGGGCATACCTCTGACAAAACCATTTCGAAACTATTCCACCCCTCCCCCCTCCTCTTGTCCTTAAAGACGGTGTATATATAAGAACTTTCTTTCCCTATAAATGTGTCAGATTTTATTATTGTATATGAACCCAAAATGGCAGGATGAAAATGAGAACCAGGGACTGTTGCTAATGAGAAGCATAGCATTTCAGAGTTTGATGGGCTTCTCTTCTGCTACAGCATTTGATTAAAATTTTTTTCAAAACAATTTATCTACAGTGAAACAAAAAATCATCTTCGTTTCCCTCTTCTGTGTAAATAACAAATCAATATTTTCAGTAGAAGAACTAGGAAAAAAAACAAAAAAACAAGCCAGTGGTCTCCAAGTTGTACACTGGCTCTGGGTGCATTTACAATAACTTTATTTTCTGGTCTTCTGTAAAAGACTTTTTCCCTTTCTTGATTTCAGTAACTGCTGTTTCGGGGTGTCTGGGCATTCACGCCATACTTGCTAAATTCTTCTGATTCAAATGCTATAGTAGAATTTTCTTCCCCCTAAAAGCTGAGCTCAGGAATGATGTGCCACACATTGGACAGGGCCGGGGCTGCATGGTGAAGGGCTGAGCAACCAACTAGCTAGGATGCTGAAGGAACATGTCACTAAAAATGTGAGCTGAGTTTACAGGAATGGAGGTGCTGCTGAAGAGGTCTCTCATTCATCTCCCCAGTGCCTGTTCCTCACAAGCATAACGTTACCCCTGCTTGACAAATATACTGTATGGCAAGTCATAAAGGTCTTAGAACAGGACTTGACCCATTTGAGAGATTTAAACCTCTCTTCGTGGTGACTGTAACATTCAAAGAGGGCAAAACCACAAGCCATATTTTAAAGTTAGGGTGCAACCATTCTCCACAAAGAAAAAGAAAGGGGGGAAATATGACTTTTGAAATGGAAGGTGTGGGCGCAGGGAATAACACCTCTCTTTTGTTCAGGTTACTCTTTGGCTGTGATGCTTAGAATAAATATGAATCCCACCCCCAGCCCCGCCAGTGAGAGAAGCCAGCCAGTTCAGGCTAAGTGATGATCAAACACTTTGCCTGTTGTAGCACCAGATTGAGGTACAAAGCTTCTCACTGTGCTTACCTGTAACTGGCTTGGAGAGTAAGATGAAGGGCTGAGCGCTGCTGCAGTGAGGTCCGCCCCTTTTCTGCAGGTCAGAGCCCGAGCCGGGTCCCCCGCAGCACAGAGCCTACAGTACTCGCCGTGCAAGCACTGTGGATGCTGCATGCGAGTCTCAATATTTTACGTGGGATTTCTTCTTTTATTTCATGTTTTGTAATGTTTAATTTATTCTGGCCAGTATTTTCAGTATAAGAAAAAATTATGATTAACCAATAGCCCAGTTGCTTTCTGAACTTCGGGTGGGCGAGGAGAGAAAAGGAGATGGGATTTTCAGATTCTCTCAGCTTTGAGCAGAAAATACACCCCTGAGTAGCTGAACGTGTTCCAATAGACCAACATCTCATATGCTTTGGGTGATTTTTTATTTTTGAACTGCCTTTAATGTCAAACACGCGGCATTAGCCTTGAGTAGCTGCATTTCTTATATGGACAGATTTGGATATTTGTTCTGTCAAGAGTAAATTTAAATTCCTGTAAGCATCATGTCAACTGACTCTGGGGGAGTCCGGCAGAGGCATCCTCGAGTTCTGTGTTAACACGTGATGGTTTCTACCTAATTGGATGAAGGCCTGTCCCAGGCTCTGCCTAATGCCCAGGAATGGATGGAAATTAGAAAGCCTACAGATTAACTATTTTTGCGTCTTACAGAAACCACTTATTATACCAAGTCAGCAGTTCATTGATTGGCTGTATATATATTCTGTCCTCCTGTATTAATTGTGCCAGGGGAAAATGTCGGTTCCATTTTTGCTGTCTATAATGTGGTCTTCTTCTCGTCCGAGACGCCGATTGTAATCAGCCCTTTTCCTGTAGTCACCCGCTCACCTGGGGAGAAAAACCACCCACAGCAGCCCTGGGGGATTTTAAAGGCAATTTATATTCTCCCTGCTTTTTTTAATATACAACCAAACTGTTACCAACAGTCACTCTGCATATTTTCCCTGGGTCAAGACTGTTAATATGAACTAAGACCTGTGTTAAATCCCTCAGCTCCCTCCAGCCACCTTGCTGACCTTGCCATTAACTACCGCTCTTCCTCTCCTCTCATCCACCTCGCGCTGTAGCCAAGATGTCCATCTACAAGAGAATGAGACGGGCATGTTGTTTTGATTGCGGACGTTCTGAGCGTGACTGCTCGTGCGTGTCAGGCCGTGTGCGTGGTAACGTGGACGCCCGTGAGCGAGCATTCCCACTCTCTCCTGTCTCTGTTAATGATTGCTCCACCAGTTTCCGTGCCTGTAAGTTCAACCCCGACACGCGCACTCGTGTCTCCGCTGTCTGTGATGTCACCCCGTCCGTGTCGTGCCTGTGGTCTTGAGTCAGCCCAGCTGATGCGTTCCTCCCCATGTGACCTTGTATGTGGCGCTGTGTTGCTCCAGTGGCCTGTGTCTCTGTGCGTGCTGGGAAGGCCTCCCTTGCCGTCTGCTAACACGTGCTTCCCTGTGATGTGACAGTCTGGTGGCAGTCTCCCTCTCTCCTTTAAATAAATGCAAATGGAAATTAATGTGACAACAAATCAAATTCAGTTTTAATGTGGAGATATGTGGAGATGGATATCTAATGTTTGGGGAAAGCTTAGACCTTGGCTGGGTCAGGGAGGAAGGGAAAAGGTGTAGCGAGAACCAAGCCGGCTGTAGCTGTAAATGACTTTTAGTGAGATCAGGTAGTTTCCAAAGTACAACAGGGTTTCGATGCAGTGGGTTGTGTGTGTGTGTGTGTGTGTGTGTGTGTGTACTGTTTTTCCTAATCTGTATCTCATTCCTGCAGTGCCAGATTGTGTCACATGTTCTGAGAAAAAGTATTCTAAATCCGCAGCCCATGTAAACGGGTGGGCTCCACAGGCCCCCGAAGGGTGACTGAATCAAAGCATCACTCCAGAAATGTATTTTCTTTTCCCAAAACCATAGCCCCCTGTTGAGGTGCCTTGTAGCAATTGTGATTCCAAACGACCAAGACTGTAAGCAGTGATCGTCCACGAAGCCCTTGAGTCTGTTGCGTGGGCCTAGCGCTCGGCCGCCTGTTACCTGACAGCTCAGAGATGAGAGCCAGTGGAGGTCCTGAGCTGGGGGCCTGCGAGCTGAGCTCGGCCCCCTCCTGAGACACCCCTCACGTTGTCCTCGGCGTGGGCTTTGCTGGGGTGTGATTGAAAGCTGCAGTTTGTACACAGCGACACTGGGCTGCGGGGCTCCCTTAAGGGCGAAGTTTGTGGTTCGAAGTGAGGACTTGGAAGCGGCAGATGCAGCTGGAACTGTACTTGACACTGTTGGCAGCATGGGAGGCGGAAGGCCAGCTTTCCTTTCGTGCCTCGTGCCGTCCTGTCCCCTCGAAAGCACGCAGAGCGTTTCTCGGAGGCCCTGTGGCCAGCGGCCTCCTGTCTGAGCAGAGCAGAAGCTCAGCGTCTGCGGCGGGGCAGTCGCACTGGCAGCGCAGCAGGGGTGGGGACAGCACTTTGCTCTTGAGCTTTCTCTCCCGCGGAGTTTGCCCACGCCCTGTGCCGATGCGAAGGTGGTCCCGGGACAGTGTGCTTGTGTGACAGCGATCCGCAGAGACGCAAGGGCTGAGCGCGCCACGCTTCCCTGGTGCCCTGCAGACCTGTCAGGCCAGGTGCTGGTGCAGCTCAGACCCGAGGTGCTGAGCTGTCACCTGGAAAAGTTAGCTCTCGGACCCTGAATCTTCCTCTAATTCCTGACTCACTGCTTGTCCAGAACAGTGCTGGGGACAGGACTCGTTAGTAAACGTAATAGCTATTGAAGGTTGCACTGAGAGGGACTTGGGGCTTCTGAATCATGTCTTGACATTGACCTAAAAGGAACTTTGTAGAAAGAACGTTTTCTTTTAAATGATTCTTACAGAGGCCACAGATGAATTCTTACCCCTTATTCTCATCATGAGGGTTCACTTATCATACAACAGTACCAAGGTGGACTGGTCACAGCCATACAGAGAATGTGTGTCTGTGAGTGTGGCAAGACACCAGCTTCAGGGCACGAGCTGGGGTGAGGAGCTGCAGGTGAGCGTGGCCCACTTGGCCTTTGGTCGTGGGGACTGTCACTGTCCGCCACTAGTCACCCTTCTGCCTCAGGCACAGCGGCTGTGTCCAGTTAATCACTGGACTCCAAAACCTCAGCCAGAGGGTCAGTGGAGGGAAGGAAGAAGCCCCTTGGGACTCTAAACCGGGACTTTGTGGTCTGGTCTTGGTCCTGGTCACCCATACCAGGCGCGGCCAAACCTGTGTGAGGGCCATGGTCCCCGTGTGTGCAGTCTCCGCTTTATCTGGGAGAAACGGTCCCTGGAGGGACTTCTCAGCTCTGCAATCTAAGTGCTGATGGAGGCCAGGAGAAGGGAGCCTCGGGGTGGGACTGTCCCGTCCTCCTAGAGACATCCCGTGCATGGGACTGGTGTCCTTCCAGCGCTCTGAAACCCGCCCCACCATGGAAAGCACCGGCTTCGGGCTGCATGTCGGAGGCTTAACTGGTACTGACAGCTGGGGGGCGGCCGCCTCCGTTTCATCACTCCATCAAACAAAGGCAGATTTCATCCATCCCTGTGTGAGACCACTCACCTTTGACCATTAATAATAAGTTAGGAAAATCCATTCCAATTTGAGCCTCTTTATGCGCCCACATAAGCCCTTCTTCTCCAATTAAAAAATGTCTTTCTCTGTGCGGAATTCTGCTGGCCGAGCTCCAACAGCCATGCCGGCCCTCCCTCGCCGCCGGCGGGGTTGGGTGGTGCCCGCTCCACAGAGCTGGGGACTCAAAGAGCAGTGGTGAGAGCGGGCTTTTCATTAAATATGAGCAGATGTGAAATGTAGAGGGTTGACGATTAGAAATGGCAGGAGAAGGGCCCTTGAATCAAAGTGAGGTCAGATGGGCGGATCAGATTACTTCTCTTACATTCTTTAGTTGTTCTGAAAATCATTTTGAATTAGTGTCAGCAGAGCCCTGATGGGTTTTGCCCTTTGTCTTTTATTCCGGGGCTGTATTGTTTCCCAAGACACTCATTAAGGTCATTATATGATTACGGGGCTTGCTTTGGTGCTGTTCCCCAGTTGAGCCAGTGTGCTTTGGAGACGGCCCAACCGTTTCTCTCTCGCCTTTCGTCTCCCTCTTCACCATTTTTTTTTTCTTATAAGGAGAAAGATTTCCGTTTTCAAGGGACATTAAATTGAAACACAAAGTCCCATTATGTGTTTTCTGAAGTGGGAAGAGAAGTAGCCGGCTCCCAGAGGAGCAGTAATGTATTAAAAAGTGTGCGTACGGTTTTAGAAATCTGTCTTCTCACAGCGGGACCTGCCCGCCCGGCTCACCTCCCCTCGGAGGTGTGGCCCGTCTCCGCTGCCCGCTGCTGTGGAGCGGGGACTGCCCTGCTGGCTCCTGTGCCGCTCACGGGAGGCGTGAGGCCCGGCTCTTTGGACAAAAAGATCTGCAGAGAAGGAGTTCTTTACAAAAGACTTAACAACCAGTGTCAGAAAAGTGAGGCAGAGTGACCCCTAAGGATTCATCACGAGATGATTCTATTTGGGGCAAGACTGACTGTTCAGCACGGTGGGCTGGGGCGGGTGTGCACGGAGCCTCCTTGTCTGGTTATTCCAGTTTCGTCTCCACTTCAGCTGGTCCTGGGCAGAAATGCCAGCTCTCTTAACAGACTCTTTAAAAACTTCTTACAAGTAGCTATGTTCTAGTGCTATCAAATATAAAAATATATGTCTAGCATATGAATGTACATTTAGGTTCTAATAAGTTCTGCTATTTGACTTACCTGCTCTGATTGCCATGTCTGACCGAAAGGGACAATTAAGTGATGATGCAGTGACAACACAGGGCCCTGCTGGTTCGGGACACAGGCACAAACCGGCAGTGACCGTGGCCTGAACAAACGCATCCGTGCGAGAGGGGAGATGGCCCTGCGCACCTGCACTGGAAGTAGTTTTCGTGAAAGCGTAGGTGCGGCGGCTCATGCCCTTCTTCCCATTTACTGACTGTTTAAACCTGCACGATGCCTGCACCCTTTCCAAAGCACTGCAGTTGGTTTAAATTGGGCATGACTTTTATTTTGGGTATACATATAATGCCAGGAGGCATTCAGCTCCGGTGGCTCCATGGAGACAAGAAGTCCAACACGACTAGGTTGAAGGGAGACACACCAAAATGCGTCCAGTGCAATCTCTTGTCAGATAATAAACAAAAATCCGCTTATCCGAGTAGCCTTTGGTTTGCACGGGCAGAGAATTAACATTGTCAGTAGAAGTGAAGTCACCCGCGGGGACTGGTGGCGTCTGAAGCACACAGATCAGATCCTGGCGCAGGAGTGGACAGCTCGAGGGAAATGGCTGATAGGACACACCCTGTGCTGACCGCCCCACGCTGTTAGAATGACATTTAACGTCACAAGCTGCATCTAAGACCGACAGCCCTCTTATGTATAGTTTTGGGTGACTTCCTCCAATTCCCCAGCCCTAAATTTTATTTGTTCATGTTACTTCTAGGCTCTCTCCCTCCACCCAGCCCCTCCCCCTCCGTCTGTCTGTCTCTGTCTCTCTCCAGCAGGCTCTGCAGCAGCCTCTGGGTCCCACGCTAGCTCTTTAGCCGGCCCTGGCTCCCATGTCTTGATTTGCCCCTTTTCACCACGCAGTCACCCACCCTGGGAGACTGACAGCGTACCGGGGAGGGCCTCTTGGTAGCGGACAAGGCTACAGAAGCCATGCCTCTCACTTGACTGTGTGGTGGCCCATTCAGCAGAGAGCTGACTGGAACCCGCGCCCACGGGCCTGTGCGCTGTGCGTCTGCCATGAGGAAGCGTCGTGCTTGGGCCAAACTTCCTGGGAGGAGAATCCCTCCCATGGCCCATCTCTAAAGAGCTCCCAACAAAGCAGGTTTTCATTCGTAACACAGCTGAGTTGTGTTGTCTTTTTCAGTTTAGTGTTTGGTGATGTAGTTGACTTCATTAGGGAACCTCACTGTGCCCCCATAGTTTCGTGGATAAACGTGCTCCGAGAGACACGGTACAGGTGAAGGCGATGGGAACAGTGGGCAGTGGCAGCCAGTCTTTCAAACGAAAGCCTTTGAAACCGAGTTGGGAGACAAGAAGTGGAAAAGTCAGAATGAAGAAAGATGAAAGGGTCCGTGGGGTGTACCCCGTCACTTGGCCACCTCCCTTTACACAGACATGCTTTAATAGGTGGCTCGACTCTTCGAGGACAAACTAGAAAAGATGTTGGTGTGCCCCAAGTAAGCGG